TTGTGAAGGAAATATTTGTTGAATTGCTTTCTACAAATGTGCCAATTTTTACGTTGATAAATTCACCAGCAGCGTACTTACTGGGTGCATATTAATATTTTCCAAAATAAATAATAATGGCACGTTAATGGCAATATTCTTCCCTTCTTAAGATCCTCAAAATTTTAATTAGAAAAACTGCTCTTTAAATTTTTTCCTAGTTTGCGCGGTTTTCCAGTAAAATTGAAATTAATTGAGTACATCAATGCACACTCCAACAAAATTTCATTAATATTAGGCGTATTTGATTACTATTTAGATTGTTAATCATTTAACAGAAGTCAACAATTTTTCCGTTGTTTATTTCAATAATTTTAAAAATTATTTGGCAATTTTTGTAACTTATTTAGTAACTTAAAAAAAATAAAGAATTGTTTTTTTTCTTAAAATACCTGAGGATTCTAAAAATGGTGGTGCATTAATGCATTGGTGCATCATTATCTTTTTAAGAAAATAGTAAAAGGCACCCAGTAGGTACGCCACTGGTGAAGATTATCGAAATAAAACGATTTTTTTAGAAACTTCAACATTTTGTATCTCGAAAAGGTAGAGGTTTGAGGAGTATGCTCATTAAGAATATTTTGCTTATAATGACGTTCCCTATACTGCTCTTTAAAATGGAAACACCCTGTATAGGTCGTATTACTCCTTACGTATATAAATGCTCCTTCTTTTTAATGTTTTAGGAGAAAAATAAATTTACCAATTTACAAACATAAAAACTCAAGTGAATAAAATCGTTATAGTAAATGTGACGATAATAATACAATCTTATATTTCTTTATAGTTACTTTTACTGCAAAATGTATATCAAACAGGAAAAGATCTATTTGTCTATTATACTTACTGTTGAAATGAAGGAACGGTATATCCAAATTCCTATCTTTTTTGTTTCGTGAGCAACATTTATTTTATTTATTCATTTACTCTTACTTTTTAAAATAATTTAAAACGAATGAATATATGCATCAGCGTTTCTTTTTATTTCAATTAAATGCCTCCTTAAATGATAGCAAAAAAGTACATATCATATGGGAGAAATGTATATCAGTAGAATTTAATAAACATCAAAATATGCATTTTTGAAAACTCTAACTATGCCAGTCGTTTTTAGAAGTTTGGTGGAAAATTTACTGTCGTAAACAAAAATAAGAAAATTACCAATTGTTTTTAAATACAAATATTTTTTAAAGAGCAAACAAAGCAGTCCAAAGGGTGGATATAATAAGGAATTTAAAAATAAAAATAATTTTCAGTCGTTTTACTATATGGTAAATTCCTATAATTTTATAAGATTACCAAAATAAAACAATTCCATATTTCTGGGCCATAATCCTATAAAATAAAGTTCGTTTCCCTATGTGCAGTATTACTCGGAACCTAAACAAACAAAATTCAATCCAGATATGAGAACGACTGAACTAACTTTATTATTGCGAGGCAAAGAAGTTCCACTTTGAGTCCGTACTTGTGCAATATATGGTAACTCTATATGAATAGTTCCATCAAAACTCTGAGTAGAAGAATCATACTTTCAGAGTTCACTAGAAGTAGAGGTACCTACAATCGATTTTTATGTAGGTATAAAGAAAAATCATAGATATGCTAAAAAAATTAATCATTGTATTCGTAACTACTGTTACACAAATACAAAATATTTACAAGTGTTATACCAGATGTCGCCTAATTTTATATGTTCAAATAGTTTTAAATGAATGGTACATATTTTAGTTTTACTCTTTATCTTTAACCGTAAATATATGCCTTGTAGATTTTGTCATTTTCAAGTATTAAGTATTTCGGCTTTCCGACTATGTCTGTTCAAAAAATGGTTAAAACATCTTAGAGGGTATTTATTTATTTAATCGTCCTAAAACTCGATTTTCATAAACGGAATCATTTGAATTGTAATATTTTGAACATCTTCAATTAAGATAAATTTTTCGATATTCTGCCGGAGGAGCCAGTGAGAACCGGGAATGTTCAAAATTTTAGTAAAAAGAAATAACAAAGATATTTTTAAAATATGTTTCATCCAAGATTTCAGTATACACTTGAAAAAGAAAAAAATTCAATACATTTCTTGACTCATCGATAATAAGAACTTGTGAAAATACTGTTATTACAGATTGGTATCGTAAATCTACATTTTCAGACAAGACAATTATATTTTCATTCTCAACATTCTTTTTCTCAAAAATTAAACATAATTAAATTAAATATAATTAAAAATCTACAAACATGAGCCTTGTACTATCCTGTATTTCGTAGAAAGAATTTAGATTTAACTCATAAAAAAATAATGATGCTGTAAAACTAATTAAAAGAATGCTCTTACCAAACACTCAAACTTCACAAAAAATAATCAGACACCACAAAATGTCACATAATATTGCATATTATATTAAATGACCTTTCGAAAAAATATCTATATCAAGTAATAATCCAATACGTTCTAATGTAATGAAATCACTAAAAGATATAAACAGAAAGCAAGAAGTTGAAAATTTAAATGAACATTATGCTCTTTATAATCGAATAATAGACAAAATTAAAAAACAATAAAATAGTAGGTACCTACGTCTTGTAAGTAAAAATAATTTTTACAAATATTGTATTCTTATTTTAGTGTATCTATTTATTTTTAACCCCTTTTTATGTTGTATAAAATTAAAAAATATTCTAAGATTTCAGTATTATTTAGTTAGCAAATGCAATTAGTATCTAAAGCAGTCTTTATGCCTCTTAGTTTAAGATTGGCAAAGAGAAACCATAATTATAAGTATGTATGTACCTGAAGTGTCACATTCACCAACTCAAGATTTTATTATTAGTTAATCAATGTTTGATATTTTATAAATGTTTAAATCTAGTCAATAAAAATGTAATTAAGCTAATTTTAATTATTGTGGTTGATTTAAAATTGTTATTCGTGCAGTCCTGAAGATCGGTTCTCTCTCCAAGACTGACCTAGAATACAGATAAACTAATAATCCTAAAATATTTTTTCTCTATCTAATACATAACAATATGATTCTGCTTTGACTTTTGCCAAAAATTAACCAAATAAAATATGAAAAATACGAGTTAGTATTGATTTGAGCACTCCAAGGAAATTGTCAAATGTGCCACGAAATCAATCAAATAAGTGTGATAATTATCATTTAAGGTAGAAACATACATCTCATACGTGACACCACGTATATATTTCTGCCTTTACGCTTTTACAATGCATCAGAAAATCAAGTTATCGTTGGATGCAGAAAAGATTACAAAAATATATACAATTCCATTTGAAAAAACAATTGACAATCGTCTGCCATTAAGATAGACCTTTAAAAGGGATGATAGTGTATGCCATCAGTGCGTAGTATTTTTTTAACCATTAACGCCAATCTTTTGTTTTTTTTTTTTCATGGATACATTCTGTGCTTTTAGAAAAAACGGTAGAAACCATAATTCTAGGTAATTTTCTTACCATTTTAAAATAATATATTAGAAAAAGCAATTGATTGTTGTATTTTATAGATATCAACCAAGTTTTTGTTTTTTTTTAGTGGAACACCTCGTATATTTTGTTGCTTTTTTGGAATTACAATATGAATATTTGTTTTAACAGTTTGCTCAATATTTTGGTTTATTTACTGCCTACAATGGATATAAGGATAATTTTACAATCCGCAAGAAGTCCTAATTTGACCTTCATTAGTTCTTTCTAGGACAAGAAAATAAACACAAAATCTAATAATTTATATGACCTAAAGGAGAAAATATTGAACGGAGTTAGTACTATCAATGAGGTGGATAACATAGCAAAGTTACAAAAAATATAACTGGTTTGGAATATACAGGGTGATTCATTAACAATGGAAAATCCGAAAACTGAAGATACTACACGTGAAATGGTGAAATTGGTCATAAGTGACGCCCCCTATGAGCAACACTGAAATTGCAACACGAATCTTCTTCGTCGCTTAAAAAATATAATTTCATAAATTTTCAAGTTCCTAACCTACATATTTTCAGAATAATCGCAAAAGAACGATTTAATATTTTCCTTTCAACACCCTGTATTTCCGAAACTATCAACTTTCGTATAAGGCATGTTTGCGCCAATGGTCACTATTTCACGTGTAGTATCTTCAGCATTCGGATTTCCCATTGTTAATGAATCACTCTGAAAATCATTTGTCCAGAACAGGATAAAGGAATTAAAAAACAACTTTTATAAGATATTTTTTCTTAAGAGAGAATTTAAAGATGTGTTTACACTATATTCAATAACGGAAAACATACCCACGTAGTGGTTCCATAGCAATCTTGAATATGACAAAAAATTCAATTCCAATAAAAATAAGCAAAAGTTTAGTTTACATCCTCGAAACGCATCAGTTTTTTCTGTACATTGCTTCGAAATCGCAAAAAAAATTCCTAAAACTTCAGTATTTACCTTTTTATTTTTCCGAGACAGAAAAGTAAAACATGTTAGGAATGTTTTGTGAGTAATTCTGTACAAAAATGTTTTTGAAAAATTATTTTGCTACATCTATCCTTATAAAAACTTAACACACAACCGTTGTTATTTGTACCTATTTAAATTTAGCTTCCCTCTCCCAAATTTTTCCGAGAACATCACTGTTAATATAACGTATCGTAGCGCAGACAAAATGGTGTATTTTAATGAACTCATACAATTAGCAAAATTAGTATAAACGTCGTATCCCCCTTTGGAGCAGTTAAGAGGCATTTCCAAATGCCCCGAGGCGATTTTTTAAATTTTTCAGGGGCCCTGCCAATAAAACAAACCCTAACGCGCGTCTGTTTCCCTCGACCGCAGCCCCAGACAATAAGGCTCGTTCCCCTATCTGCATTAAGTAAAACCCAAACAAACAAAATTCACTCTAAAGTTCTCCCCCGGGAGACGAGAGAACGACTGGCCCTACTTTATTATTGCGTTTCAGGGAGACCCCGATTTGAGTCCTTGGACCCCGGAACCCCTCAACGGCGGCATCCCCATCCCGCACTACTCCAGCCCGGAGCCCGGATCGCCCCCGGATAGCGACTAGCATCCGGACTGGGACAGGTCTACCAGGATATAAGCTGGAGGACGGGTCCTTCGAGATCCTGGAAGACCTGAGGGGACCAAGGTGACGATGGCCCAATTGTGGACGTGATGAATTTTAAACGAGGAGGGTCTCGATCGAGGACTGAAGACCATTCTCGGCGCGGATCGGATTTTAACATAGTGTAACAATACAGGGTGTCTCAAGAGAAAGTGCACAAACTTTTAGAGAACATTCCTCAGATCCAAAAATAAGCAGAGTAGTTTATATAAACCTAAATATGGAGAAGACCCGTTTACAAAAGTACAAGTATTTGGGAAAAACATTTATATTTTAAAAATGCGTAATTAAAATTTAATTTAAAAATGGATAATTAAAATGCGTAATGACAACCTCACAAAATTTGTTGCAGTAACATCCATAATTAGTACTTGCAAAACTATGCTAGTAATTTTACAAGACTCTTTCAAGATAACTTTCAAGACTGATAACGTGTAACAAAGATAGGGCGCATTCTAAAGATGAAATCACGTCATTTCAACCCCATTTGCCTATTTGTTGCTTAATTTTTTATGCACGGGTATCTCTAAAGGGTCTGTACAACGCTCCACGGCTCAAAATAAATCGATTTAACTAAATTTGTCCTAGCCCAAAAATCGATAATAACGGAGCTACAATGTGTGTCAAAATTGAAAAAATAAATAACATATTTTTTAATATTTTTCGACTAATTTCATGAAATTTCGTATTTCGGTGTTTTTTGGAATGAGAAATTCGAATGTATCGACGATTTCGTTGTATCTGCTAGAGGGTGTCACAAGCGACCAATAGGATACATTTAAACTGACAAAACTTTTTTACTACAGTGTATTTCACTTTAGGCTGGAAAAATCTTTTCCTTCAACAAAAGGTATATCTTGCACATATCTCTAAAGCTAACCGTTTTCAACTAAAAGGCCTTTAAATTTATAAATGCATAAAAAAGTCATAAACGAAATTAGGAATATTCTTTTTTAGCAGGAAATATAGCTTTAAAGGAAATAGTACAATTACAATTTTAAATTTCGCTCATTTAACAATTAATTGTACTGCAAACAAAATATACTTTCTTAAAACAATCTAATCAATTTAACACAATCTAAACAATGTAACCGATCTAAACGATCTAAAAATGTAAAAAATAACTAATTATTGTTAACATGTCTTAGAAGAGGTTCAAAATGTGCACCATCTACATGCATGCAGAGATTAATTCAAGGCAAAAAATCAAACTGTACCCTTTGTAAGATTTGTGGATTATTTCTAATGACATTTGCACTACATATGTTGAATTCTTTGCCACATATCATCTCTATTTTTGACGGGTGTCGAATAAACCATTTCTTTTCGGTTGCTCTGAAGAAATAGTCCATCGGGGTTATATCTGGAGAGCTTGGCGGCCAATTTACTGCCGAACCATCTGTTTGAATAGAGTTGATTTAAAAAGGCTCGAAGATTAGCAGAGTAATGGGGGGGAACTCTGTCGTGCATATACCATATTCATTGAAAAACATATCTTTTAAGACAAGTCGATAATAATTTGTTATTTTTTAGAGTTTCAGATAGTTTAGATTGGTTACAGTGTTTAGATTGTGTTAGATTGATCAGATTGCTTTTAGAAAGTATGTTTTTTACTCTGTCAATTCGGTTTGCATTAAAATTGACTAAAAAGATTTTTCCAGCCCAAAGTGAAACATATCGTGACACAAAAATTTTTTGGCAGTTCAAACGCATCATTGCTCGCTTGTGGCGACCTCTAGAAGATACAACGAAATCGTCGATAAAATACTCGGATACGAAATTTCACGAAAATAGCTGGAAGTAGTCGAAAAAAAACTATTTTATTTTTTCAACTTTGACACCCTGTTATTGTCAATTTTTGGACTAAAGCAAGTTTAGTTAAATCGACTTATTTGTGCCATACTGTATGTGGTGGAGCGTTGTACAAGCCATTTAAAGACACCCTGTATAACGTGTAACAAAGATACGCGTTCCAAAAGTCCATTTTCCTATATGTTGCTTAATTTTTGATATATAAGTTGTCAGTCATTCTTGTTTTTCAGTGTTTTTTCAAACATATGTAACATAAACATATGTATATATTTTTTGTTCACATTTTACACATATTCAGAGGTATCTAAAATCCATATTTTTGCATTTGATTTTAAGAAAAAAATTGTGGTTTTGAACAATAATTAATTCATTATTCATCCTTCAACCCCCATTTATTTTTCCATGTACGTCAATGGACATCATACACGATTTTTGTAAAGATCTCATGGTAATGTAAAGTTTGCATCACTGTTTCCCTTCGTTTCCAGGTAAAAAAAAAACAATTATTTTACACGTCGTTGTCCATGTGTAATAGTATTTTTTCGCTTAAGAATTATGTAAAAATCAGTTCAATTGTTTTAAACGTTAAATATAGGAGATAACAAATGAAATGCAGTTAAGCTCAACTCTTGATTTTACTTTACCCAGACTATAACAATATCTAAAAATATTTTAATTTACTACATATACAGGGTGTTACTTTCGGTATCTCCGCCACTGTCATAATTCAATGGATTTTTACCTTTAATTAGATAAATCATTGGCTTAAGTTTCATTATTCTATATCGAACCAAAGATATTTTAGAAAATAAGAGGGGTCCTTGGAGAAAAATTAAAGAGTAGTAGAACTTTCTTAAAAAATCATGTAAAATGGCCATTGAAGTAGATACAAAAAATGAGAGTAGAGCGTGACTCCATCCCTAATTTAATAATTCAAAATTCGATTTTTTTTCTTAAAATCAAATGTAAAATATAAATTTGATATACCTCTAAATATATGTAAAATGTGAACAAAAAAAATTAATAAATGTCAAAGATATTTGGAAAACTATGAAAAAATTAAAAAAAAATACGTTCCTTCAACCTAGAATGCACCAAGATTTGTCCCCATCTTTAGGTTACACTTTACATAAGGAATTATTTGTTGACCATATTACTGAGGTAAAATCTATATTAGATCAAATCGAAGCAATGTAGAAGTTTTTGAAGGAAATTTAATTTTAAAATTTAAAAGTTAATACTAATAGGTATTATTGTACCATTTTTGTGAAGCTGCCATTAGGCATTCTTGAAGCATTGATTTTTTTTCTCAAAAATATTAAATTCCTACATCCCGAAACTCAAAACTAAAATTTGTTTATTTTTACCTGAGAAATATTCCCTTAAAGTTTCTACCTTATGGAACATCCTGTATAATTCTAGATTTATAATGAATATGTACCTTGTTTACAGCATGCTGTGTAAAGTCTACAAATTTGTCACTAAAAGTGTTTTTCAGAAACTATCAATAAATACAGAACATCACAGAACAATAGTTAAACATCGATATTGGGTGGCTACAAAATACCGGTATCAAAGATGGTGCTGACAATGGTTATACAATTTCTGAGATGCCACGTGACTTTTTCCACATAAGCTACCGTGTTCAGATTGTGTCTCTATAGTGTCGTTAATGTGGGCGTCTATTGGTTGATTTAATTAGCCATAATTCATTTAGCCAATAGCTCCAATTGGATGACACGGTACCAAATGTGTCATTCAATACGAGCGGCTATTGGCTAAATGAATTTCTAACTTGTAATCAGCAAATTGAACTTGATTCACATTGAACTTCTTGTAAGGGCAGTTTGAGCAGGGTATAGGTACTATGTGGAAATTGATCTTAACTTATCGAAGTTGGGAATTGCAACCAGCAATCGTGCCACATACGCCATGAGACATTATAGGGAAAAAATCGGAAAAGTCGCATGTAGTATCAGCTAAAAAATTCAAACCTAAATACTACTTATAATCTAAAAAAAGTGTGGGTTACCATTTAAAATAAAGTGACTTCGAAAAATTCCGAAAAATATCTCGAATATAATCGATTTATTTTGGTAGCAATATTCGTGGTCTATCACTGACAGCAATTCTAGCAAAATAAACAAAGAATAATATAACTTATCCTTATAAATAACAAAAGAAATAAATTTTAATTTTAAGAGAGTTCACTTTACAGAACATTTCTCATCTTAGGAATCAAGTTAATTCTACTTCACCTACCTTTACCTTCCAATTTTTTTATTTGTGGAGATGAAAGAAAAGATTATAAAAAAACGCAATAAACAACCATTAAGTGATAGACTGACATTATTCCCTTCTAATAAAATATATTTGCCCATTTGTCCAAAAAAAATCTATCGAAAACTTACGAATTCAAATAAAATGTATAAAAACATATATTTTTTCAAGTGAAAAGTTTATTTCAGATTGAAATACCAATGACGGCTTCCGGAATTGAATTGGTCATTCAAAAGTGCCAACAGGATTTAAAAAATTGAAACAAAATGAAAAACAAACCAATTTTCGATTCCAAACAATTAAAATATTTTTTTAAATACAACATTAGCACAACAATTAACATAAATAAAAGTAATACACTTTGTAAAATAGTGGGCAAACTGTATTCGACAAAGCAATAAATTTAGAACGCTATAGGTACATACAATTCTCTAAACGCAACTATAATATACAATTAAATATTGGCAATATTTAACGCAACAAAATTTTCAATGGTATTTATACAAATTTGTATACCTATCTAATCAAGCTTTGACCAGGTAAAATGGATAGAATGTACAAATTTCGTAATAATTTGAAGTTATGATGACAACTGCCCGTAAAACAATATGGTCTTGTAATATAAATGCATCATCCTGAATTAATAAACATTCGTAAAATGTAATGTTATGATCAAAATTGTAAATACAGATACATATGTGGATCTATGCAATATAGGAAAATCGTAATCCGCCTGACACTGGAATTGACATTATTGAATAAATAAATAAATAAAACGAATAGATATATAGTTTAGCCTGGAAAAATTAACGATTAAAAATCTTCTAAATATCATTTTCAAATTAATTTAC